TGGAAGGTGAACGAGGAAGTACCTGAGAAGAAGAAAGAGCTGAGAAAGGGAAGATCATCTCATTGAAAACGACATGGCGAGAGAGTATGACACGTTTTGTGTTGATGTCGAGGCATCGGTAACCGCGGTAATTTGTTGGATATCCAAGAAATACACACGGCGTCGACCGTTTGGCAAGATTGTAGAACGCCTTTTACGTCGGAACATATCGACGTAAAATCGACGTAATGGCTCCATTGTGTTGAATTAGCAACGAATCAAAAATCGTCGTAAAACAATCGTCATAAATGAGAAATCGTCGTAAAATCATCGTAAAAGTTTCAACACCGAGAAATCGTCGTAATTTTGTTGGAAAATGTTACGTCATTTTGGAAAATATTCGTCGAAAGAATGACGTAATATTTTGAACGAGATTACGACGAAATTACGCAACATCGACGTAAAATCGATGTAATGTTATATCGAATTTACAACGATTATGATATGATCTATTTCGTCAAAATCAAATAAATTTATTAAAAATCGACGTAAATTCATCGTAAAATATCAACGTTAAGTCGTCGTAAAACTTGTCGACGTTAATTCGTCGTAAAACCTTTGCCGTAAATTCGACATAAATTTACGACGAGTTTACGTCGAATAGTAAAGAAAAATAATTATGACAATTCGATTTTTAATTAATAAATTAATATTAAAAATAAATTAATAAATGAATATTAAATAAAACAGAATTAAAATTTAAAATTTAAATTCGAAATAATTAATATATTAAAATACAAAATTAAATACAAAATGTTTTTTAAAATAAAACTAATCTACAAAGTTATTTCATAATCGTTGAGGTTGAGATCGACGTCTTGAGGAGGCTTTCCGTCATGTTCGCCTGTAACCGTTCTACCGTCGTTTTCCGTCTGAACTACGGGATCCGAAGTCTGACCCTGTGTCGTCGGCTGGTCAGAAGATCCACCAGAAGAACCCCTGCAATAATCCATGTCCGCCGTTGCCTCTCTTAGATTGCGGTGGTCAACTGCGGAACCGCTGCCGCAATGATGTCGAAGAGGCCGTTCATCTCGGAGAACTCCTGCTTCTGGGCCACTTGCTCATGCCGTAAATTGGTGATCTCAGCATTGGCTGTAGCAAACTCCTGTCGCAGTTGACTCGGATCCTCGTGCGTGCGGCATCCCGAAGACGAGGCAACGGGACAGTCTCTAATAGAATCCATCCCTAAGGTCTGGCCCTTCTCCTTCAGAGCAACCTGCAAACAAAAGTGAAACGTTAGATCATAACTATATATATAGATAATTAAGTATATATATTAAATTAAAAAAATATTGAAACCATACTTCCTCGAAGATCTTGTCTTGCTCGAGGATGGTCAAAGGTACTTCGATAGTACCGTCAGGTGTGACCTGTGTTTCCTGCTCGGCAATACTCTGCATAGTTACGTTGTAGATCTCCTCTGACTGAGCATCTACAAAAGTCCCGTCCTTCTTCCGGTGAGTGGTCTCGAAGAGCTTCGTCATTGGAGGAAGTTCTCCTCCGTTCTCTTCGGCCTACCAAAAAAAGTTAAAATTAAATATTAGTAATTATAAACAAAATATATTATATATTTGTAAATAATTTGAAAAAAAGAAATTAAATGTAAATAATTAAAATTAATTACCATCATCAGAGGTCTTCCCGCAAATGGTATTTGGCCAGAAGTGTGCGGGTCACTAACTTCCGACCGTCAGGACCGATCCGGTTTCAAACGCTCGAACACTTAGCAGCTACATCTTAGGCATGCGGGTCCATCCAATATGCGTTCAACCCATCCCAACAGTAAGTGGACATCGAGCTCGGCTTTGCATCGTCGCCGTCGATCTCCCACTTCCGCTTCCAATCGGAAACGGTGTTGACTAGGCGTCTATGCGCCTTCAGGCGGAACGCTGTCTGGACCTCCTTGTTGATCCCGATGTCCCAATGCCACCGTTGCTGCAAAATAAAACAAAATGTTAAACAATATAAACTTAATATTATAAATTTTAAATAACTAATGAATTAGAATTAAAAAAGAGAAAAAAAAATTACCGCGAAGCATTTTTCGAACGTCTCTTGCGACACCTTGCCTCAGTTGTAGTGAGGCTCGACGAAATGGCTCTTAATTGTGTCGGAAATGCTCCGACCGACACAATTATCCAAGCCAAACCTATGAAACCAAAAAAACATATTATATTAATAATTAAGTCAATTAATGAATTATTTAAAAAAAATAAGATAAACAAATTTTTACTTACCAATAAGAGCCTGGTTCCGCTTTTCCGGGGACCAGACGTCGTAAACCCTCCTCCCCCCCGGTCCTGGTAGGACTAATAAGACCTCAATCGTATATCGGGCATACGGTTGCGGAGGGCGGGGTTCGGATGCCGGTGGTGGAGGTGGTGGTGGAGGCGGTGGTGGAGACTGCTCAGCCGCAGTGATCGGAACCTGGAAGGCTCCGGAGGATGACAGGATCTTGGTATTTCTCAAGGCAGACGTCCGGGAAAGAGAATGTCCGTCCGCCATAAAGTTGATATAATGCGTCTTCCGAGGAGGCATCGTCTGCAAAACACAAAAAAATAATTAAATTTATTTTCCGAACCTATTATCTAATTCCGAACCTAATTCTAACAAATTTCAAACCTAAACTAATTCCAATCTTAAATTAATAAAAACTAATATTAATTAAATATTAAAAAAAAATTTTAAAAAAAATTACCTTAAAGAAGAGAGAAGACGTGGAGATAAGGCAGGTGGAGAGAGAGAGGACAAGAGGAATGAAAGACGAATTAGGGAGGGGTGCGTCCATATATATAGTTTTTATATTCGTCGTAAAGTCGTCGTAATATTACGACGCTTTTACGATGAATTTGTCGTAATTCCGACAGAGTATCCACCGAGCCACAAATCGAATAAGACAAACATATGTGGCTGTCTTTGGGTGATACGATCGCAGATTTAAAAAAGTTTGTGGTGAAGTGAGAGTTATTAAACAATGCATATTATAATTAGTTTTATATTTTAATCCAGTACAAACATGTTAAGTAAATGAGTTAGTTCGATATGAACGGATTATGATTCTAATTTTTTGATATCCACCAAAAAAATCTTGCAGATCAAAATATTAGTTTCTAGAAAAAAGTGGTATATTTAATCTACTAAATATTATAATTTATCTTTTAAAAATAAATATAATTTGTTGTATTTTAATTAATTTTATTTCAAACCTAAGTTTAAAGAATATTATATTTATTTACATATGTAGTTAAAGAAGATAAAAATATTTTTTATAGTTTGTGGACAAATTATAAAACTCAGTTATTAAGCAATGAAAATTAGATTTGATGATTATAATATTATAATATTTTGTGTATTAGCCTCAATAATATATTAGTCTAATGCCAACAGATTAAATAAACAACTTATTTTGCTTTACCCACTTATAAAATAATTTCATATACGGATTAACTCATTTTTTACAATTCAAACAAAAAAAAATAAAAATGACTCTATATATAGATCAACTCATTTTATAAAATTCACAAAATAACTATTTTCTCAAAATAACTGTTTTTGAAAAATAATTGTTTTTGCAAAATTATTTAACGTAATTGAAGGTCAAAAAATTCAAGACTAAAATTATGATATAAAAAATGGTGAAATATTTTTTACTATAATTTGTTATATTTACTTGAGTATATACAACATTATTTTTTTTTTAGTTATCTTGACCAAAAATTTGACATGAGAAAATTGATTTTTAATTAAAAAAGTTTGTGGTGAAGTGAGAGTTATTAAACAATGCATATTATAATTAATTTTATATTTTAATCCACTACAAATATGTTAAGTAAATAAGTTAGTTCGATATGAACGGATTGTGATTCTAATTTTTTAATATCCACCAAAAAAATCTCGCAATTCAAAATATTAGTTTCTAGAAAAAAATTGTATATTTAACCTACTAAATATTATAATTTATTTTTTAAAACTAAATAAAGTTTGTTGTATTTTAATTAATTTTATATCAAACCTAAGTTTAAAGAATATTATATTTATTTATATATATAGTTATAGAAGATAAAACTACTTTTTTTATAGTTTGTGGTCAAATTATAAAACTCAGTTTTTTTTTTTTTGAAGAATGTAAAATTTATTCATCAAAAACATCTTTTTACAGAAATTCAGAGTTTGTTTTTGAAAATATCTAAGCTAGCTTATTACTTTGTTAGCTTTTACATTGCTTTTAAAAGAGAAAACTCAGTTATTAAGCAATGCATATTAGATTTGATGATTATAATATTACAATATTTTGTGTATTAGCCTTAATAATATATTAGTCTAATGCCAACGGATTAAATAAACCACTTATTTTGTTACTCACTTATAAAATAACTTCATATACGGATTAACTTATTTTTTACAACTCAAACAAAAAAAATAAAAATGACTCTATATACAAATCAAATCATTTTATAAAATTCATAAAATAAATATTTTTACAAAATAACTGTTTTTAAAAATAATTATTTTTAAAAAATAATTGTTTTCACAAAATAATTGTTTTTGCAAAATTATTTAACGTAATTGAAGATAAAAAATATCCTCTACGCTACAGCGCGGATTAATCCCTAGTAGCGTACAATGGAATAGTCTAGAGAATGAATTTAGATAAATACAATGTATCTAGGAAAGAGGAATTGACTACTTGGGAATAGTAATCGATAGTCTAACATGTGCATATTTCCAAGCACTTTTTCGCTAAAGCTTTATGTGGAAAAAAATATATGAGTCATATATAGTCTTGTAAAAAGGAAAATAATATTTACTGTCTAAATATTGTATAGAAATAAGATACATATACATATATAGATATAGATATGGATAAAATCGTGGAACAAAACCAAAGGTGGTTAACGTGTTTGAGTATTGGAATATTACAACTTCATGTAATGTCCGCCATGGAAAAACAAAAGGGTCACGTCTCCAAGGATGAGGTTAGGCTAAACACCCATTCATTGAATGCATTAGGAGAAAAATCTGGTTCGATGATACCAACAGATCTCATCGTTGAGATACTCTCCAGATTGCCTGCAAAATCCATAGCCAGGTTTTGTTGTGTGTCAAAGAACTGGTCGTTCATTCTCTGCCGTAAAGATTTCACCGATCTGTTCTTGAAGATGTCGTCTGCTCGTCCGCGTCTTTTGTTCATCTTACAACTCAAACGTAAGTTTCTCTTTCTCTCGACACCTCAGCCTTTGTATCCAGACCAGAACTCATCTCCTATAGTTCTCGATCATTACATGAGCGTCTCCACCGAAGATTCTTTTTTCGGGGTTACTCGTCCTGTATGCGGATGGCTCTGTAGTAAAGATAAGAATCCAATGATCTGTAACCCTAGCACAGGACAGTGCATAACTTTACCCAAAGTGACATTGACGGAGGAGCGACTTAGGGTGCATACCAATTTGGGGTATGATCCTGTCGACAAACTATTCAAGGTATTGTGCGTGTCCAAGGATGGTTGTCGAGTTTTGACATTTGGAAATGGAGAAATGTCATGGAGAATGATCGATTGTCCAGTTCCCCATCGCCCTTTACGTAATGGGATATGCATCAATGGAGTTTTGTACTATACAGCTGCATCACCAGTAAATGGCATGCCTTATCCGATAGTTATGGGCTTTGGACATCTTATGCTAACTTGCTTTGATATTAGGTTTGAAAAGTTCACGTTTCTAGCTGTGGACGATCCAATTTTGAAGGCAAAACTGATCAATTACAATGGAAAATTGGGCGCTGTTCTCCCATCTGATTCAGTTTCTTTTTTCAAAGGAAGTACTACAAGTCTTCAACTGTGGGTTTTGGACGATGCCGAGAATCAGAAGTGGTCGAAGCATATCTATGTATTGCCACCATTGTGGAGGGATGTTGTTGGGAATAAAACCATGCTACACATTGTTGGGATGAGTGGTGCAGGTGAATTTGTGTTTGCCCCAAACTATCATGAATTCGGCCCCTACATTTTCTTCTACAATGTGGTGAGGGACACTGTTATAAGAGTCGAAATCCAATTAGGAACTGTAGCTTCTAAGTGTCCCAACATTGACACATTCGTGGACCATGTACAAGATGTGAAGCTTATGGAAGCGCTTAGGAGGAGTTCATAGGACTTTACAGTCGTAAGCATTGCGTTTATCTCATATTGTGTTGGTAACGATATGATTGTTCATTGCATGGCCATTTTAATTTATGTTTACTTTGAATTTAAAACTTCCTCTCTTTATGGAAACTGTGTCCATGAGAATCAGTGGTTGTTGTAAGCTACTGTTTGAACTAATTAAAACATTTATTTTTTCATCAGCAAGCCACTTTGTGTCTTAGCTAATATATTCTACTACATTAGTTATATACATAATAACACGACGAACCTACGAGCATGTAACAAAGAGGATTCTCACATCCACAGGCCCATCACGATATATACAATATGTCGACAATGAGGAAGATAAGAAGAATAATTATTTGATAACACTTGAAATCAATTTGTATACTCCTTGTAATGAGCTCTCTGTGGAAAAATCATGACCTTTATCTTTTGCTATTGTTGAATAAAAGTATTTTTCACTAGAACTAAAGCATAATTAAACTCTGTGAGACAAAAGATGGATATTTGAAATTTGAAAGGTACGTAAGTCAATCGCATTTTTACTGGACGTGAGCTGGAATTGAAGAAAAAATGAAAATAAGTAATTGGTAAATTAACATGTTTAAGATTATAAGAATTGTTAAAATATTAGACGACTTTTTCTTATAAAACATTAGAAAGCTTGTAACTTCTGTCATAGTCAGTCCATTTTAGGTAAATTCTAATCGAACAGTAAAAAATCTGAAGTACTGTGAATTTATTATAGAAGCATCCATAATCAAATATATTCATATATATTATAAGCGAAATAAAAATTTCGTTTAAAACTTTCTCATTGAATTTCAAAGTGGCTAATTACCTTTTACCCCTCCTTAAAATTATTTTTAATTTAACAAAAAAACAAGAAAATTGTTTACAACTAAAATCACGATTATATATAAATTGTAATAATATTAAATCAAATCAAAATACATGATTTTATCTCAATCAGATCAAAATCTACGATTTTATCAAATCAAAAATCACGATTTTACAACTAAAATCACGATTTAAAAAAAAAGAAATTAATTTTATTTAAATTAATTTTTATAAAAAAATATTAAAAATTGAAAATCATCATATATAATTATGTTACTCCATAAATCTTTAAGTAAATCTTACTTAATAGATACTTAGATATTATTTTCTTTTTTAAATAAAAAATATTTATATGAATTATAAAAAAACATTAGAAAATGAAAAGTCATCATATATATTTATGTTACTCCCTTAATCTTTAAGTAAGTCTTGATAAATACTTAGATATTGTTTTTTAATAAAAATATATATATGAATTATCCGATTTGCATGTATTAATTAGATGGAATTACCCTATAGACCATTCTGAATCGGATAATTCATATATATTTATATGTTTTATATGTATTCACATGTTTATACTAAATATTTATATGTTTTTTAATAAATTTTAAGTTTTATTAAAAAATATATGAATTATCCGAAATTTTTACAAAAATATTTGAGATGTAAAATTTATGTTTAAGTAGCTAAAACTCTAAGTTTTCTTAAGTTTGTATGTTGGAAGGATTCAATTCCATCTAAATTTTGTATTTTCTTTATTTTTTTAAATTATTTAATAGGGTAACAAATAAATATTCTAGCACAACAATGTGAAAGAAATCGATAATAAATTATATACAAAATCTGCAAATCTTGGGACCGTGAAAATGTCACAACCCTTTTGTGGAGACTCCATTTTACTTAAAGTCTTATTTTGATATTTGTTATAATTTTTGATATTTTTGTTATAGCATCATTAAGAAATTTTGAGAATTTCTTTTTTGGTATATATGTTTAAGCTCTTTTTTAAAGTTGATTACCCAAAAATAGTTTTGATTGTTCGAAAGGAGCAAGCTACAAAAGTTAATGCAGCTTTCTTATCTAATAATAAATATAACACACTTTTAAGGAGAGTTTTAAGTTTGAAATGTGTATTTATCTTTTTTCTCAGCCTCAAAAGATATAGAGTCATAAAAAGTATGAAGAGTACGTAATATGAAAAAAATCATAAGGAGAAGAAGAATAAACCGTAAAAACAAAAAAGAAGAAGAAGACAAAGAAGACGAATGTGTTAAATAATTAAAAAAAATATGTGAATGATAAATTTGAATAAGAAATATTGGAAGAAGAAAAAAAATGAAGAATAAGACATGAAAAAAAAACAAAAAAAAATATGGACAAAAGAAGAATAACGAAAAAACGATGAAGAAGAAAGAAAAAAAATAATGAAGAGGAAAAAATAGGAAACGAAAAACTAGAATTTATTTTAATTAAATTAGTTTGTGGATTATTCAGTTATAAAGTTTTTTTTAAGTAATTAATTTCGAATTTTATTTACTTTTTAAGTTAATTTTATTTTGATTTTTTTATGTCTTAAATAGTTGTTTTAATTATTTTCAATTTATAGCATAAATTTTTATTTTTTGTTTTTAAAACTTTTTGGCCTGTGCAAGTCGCGGGCTAAATACCTAGTATAATAAGATAGTACAATTTCGACTAGAACAAAATCAGAAATTCTTTATCTTTATTACAAAAAAATAAATCAGAAACTCTGTGAAGAACATAACTGTGAGAATTAGTTTCTAGGAAAAAGATAAACAGAACTAGAAATAAGATAAAAATACTTTATTTCGTTCATAAAATATATAGTTGAAACAGAAGTTGATAAAACTTATAGTTCATGATTCACATTGGCTTTGCAAAGACAAGACAAGCGATTAGTGCCGGGCCTGAGTAGAAACACATGAAATATGTGCTTCAATGCCAATAAAGTTAACGTTATTTTAGGGTTTACCAGTCAAAATTTGAGTTAGAACAGATGGTTTAAGATGAGTAGGCTTCTTTACAGGTCATGCGTACGAAGTTGAAAACGCGATTAAAAGGCCATTTTTTTTTCTACTTCTAGCTTGACAAAACTGAGGACCGGCTCTACAAGTGACAATGCATATTGCTTATTACGCTCGGCATGTTGAGGGTCGGATCTGGGCCAAGCCCATTGAAACATTTGTTTCAAGTCTCCAAATTTTTTTTTGTCTAATTTAGTTTATAAATTTAAAAAAAAAAAAAAAATTTATAAAACCAATTAGGCTTCCATTTTTGTTTTTGTTTCAAGCCCCCAAAATCTCAGATCCGACTTGAGGCTCAGGAATAACTAATGAAACTTATACTTTATGTTTCCTGAAAGACAAGGCAAAATGAGAATGCTCTTCTCTCTCATAAGCACTACTAAAGTCTTATTATCAATTTTGTCTAACAAAAACTCTTAAAGCACATATACATATGTAACAAACAAAAGGAAGTCACGTAGGACTTCAAAACTCAAACATAAAAGAAAGGTATATAACACACGATCTAGCCCTAAAAAAAGTATCAGCTTTCTTGCAATGAATTAAACTCATAATTTATTTAGAGTTGATCACTAAATGGTAGATATTCACACTGAAATTCTAAAATAAAATATTTTCATGTTAAATAGGTAATTTAAACAAAACTTTTTGTGAAAAAAAAAACATATGAGTAAATCATATAAAAAAGAAAAAAATATTTACTGTCTAATTATATATAAATGACATATATAATGTTCAAGAAAGCGTTAGGCGCTAGGCAGGCGGTGATACAATGCCTAGCGTCTAAAACGCTTAATCGGAATCTAGACGATTTTTAGGCGTTTTAAGCGTTTATGTGGTTTACAAATAAATAAATTTATTATATAATTTATAGAATGCAATATATAAAATTACATGGTTTGCTTATAAATAATAAAGTTTACATATTATAAATCTTAAATATATATTCAAAATTCAAATTATATATAAAAAAACAAAAAAAAAATCTTATAAATATCAAATATAAAACGGTTAAAAAGTAACTGCCACAATATATAAACGCCTAGATCTTAGATGGGCGATCTATGAACGCCTAGCGCCTAGGCTATACCTAAGCGGTTGCCTAGACCGACTTTTAGAACATTGGACATATATAGATAAATAACATATCATCGTCTTCGTCATCTTTTACATCGTCTACAATCGGTTCATCAGTCTGGAAAAATGCAAAATAAACTCCAGAACTTAAGATTTACAAACCGAAGCAAAAACCAAGACAAATTAAAAATACACAAAATCGTCCAAGAAAAAGTTTCACCTGAAGCTTCTTCTCGAGCTCATCAGTGATGGCAGAAGTAGCCACTGGTTGCTCAATGACTACTGCAGGAGACATCAGACATGGCAAGGAGATTCTGGATAAGGATCGGTGCGGTAAGAGTGACAACTGCAGAAGATCCTTTGTTCTTCTTTGATGAACCTTTTATTGGATTTGCTTTTGAAACCGGATGAGGTTTTAAAAAGTAATTTTGATATGTGGGCCATAAAGTTTCAAACACATACTTTATATGGGCCGCACATGATATTCAAGTGCCCGAGTCAAAGTAGAATGCCGGTGAGTTCGGAAACCCTAACTCGATCGGCATAGAGAAACAGCTAGAGAGAGAATCGTCAGCCCTAAATTTTCGTTTTGGTCTCTGTTATTTACGTTTGACTCAAGCTAGGCAGCTACAATGGCCACCGGTGAGCTCGCATGTACATACGCCGCTCTTATCCTCCACGATGATGGAATCGACATCACCGTTAGTACTTTTATCTTACCTTCTCGGTTACGCTATCGTATCTGACTGTAATTTAATGTACTAGCTAGCTAGCTTCCTTAATACCATCGTCATGAGATTTCTCGCTTCTAGTCTTCTGTATAAACTCTTTTTTTTTTTTTGCTTAAATCTGTTTTGGTAGCTTGTTAAAACCTCTTATGCATTGGTTTGATATGTATACTTGACAAATGAAGCTGATATTTGCATCTGATTTGCACTGATTCGAATACTGAAAACAGTGGTGGATTTATAACTTTTTTTATTGGGATTTTTCAGTAGAAACATATTTTTTATATATAATATGAGGATATTTTTTCTATAAATCTATTAAAATAATATATTAAATCAAATTTATTTAAGATTTATTCAATAAAAAAAACAAAAAAGAGGTTGACAAAACCTATGTCCACCTTGAAAAGATCTCAACACTGGTAAAAACAGCCAACTTGAACATTGAATCATACTGGCCTAGTCTTTTGGCTAAGCTTTGCCAGAACAGAAACATCGATGATCTCCTCATGAACGCTGGTGCTGGTGGCTCTGCAGCTGGAGCCACTCAAGAAGCCCCAACAGAGCACAAGAAGAAGGTACAGTATTTTATATATATTATTCTCTTCTTCAACGCTTTCATAATTTTGATCATATAATTGTAACCATTAAGTTATTATATTATAATCTCTCTAAAAACTAATCTATGGTCTTGATGTATCATCTTTAGGAGGAGGTCAAGGAAGAGAGTGAGGATGATATGGTATTATGGTATTTGGCTTGTTTGACTCGAAAGAAAAGCCTTAGTCCTTTGGTAATTTCTTTATCTCTTTGTTTAAAAAGCAAATCCTGTTTAGTCGACTCAAATTTTATGAGTCCCAAAATTAGAGCTCTATTTTTGCCTAGAATGGTGGCATGTAACCCTTTCTCTAATTTTGAACTTGCAAAGCATTTTATTTTAATTGAATAGAGTTCATTTTTAACCTCATTCTTGATACTATATATACTTCACTCATTTGCACTACAAGAAAAACAAATATGGATGGCCATCAGGCCATATCTATCAGAAATGTGCTGAAAATGATTTTCTCTGGCCAACAAAAATCGATAAAAAAACACTCGTCTAAATGTTGTATTCGACAGATAGTATTACATAGAGCGATACGTACACATACCTTATTTTAAGAACCTTTCAATCAATTCAAGTTTGTCCATTAAAATATGTTCTTCTAAAAAACCATAAAATTAAAAATGTTGTCACATCCATGTCAAATGAACTGGTCTAGCAGTAGAAAGTTCAAATGTACTGCGAGGTTTATGGAAACATCCATAACATAATTAACAAGATAGTAAAATTGAGACTAGAACAAGATCAGCAACTCTGCCCACTACAGAATTGTGAGAATCTCTTCAGAATTGCAGATAAAACAGTAGTAGAAATAAGACAACATTTTGATCGTAAGAGATATATTGGAGCAGAAGCTAATAAAACTTGTAGTTCATGATTCACATTGGATTCCCAAAAACAAGGCAAGCGAGAATGCATACTCGGCATGTTTAGGTGGCATGATAAACAGTACTAGAAATAAGATAAAAGTACTTCATTTTGTTCATAAAAAATATATTGGAGCAGAAGCTAATAAAACTTGTAGTTCATGAATCACATTGGATTCCCAAACACAAAGGCAAGCGAGAATGCATACTCGGCATGTTTAGGTGGCATATTTGCTCAGGAATAACGCAGCTCTGATACAAAAACTGATGGAGCGGAAACTAATGAAACTTAATAGTAATTCACATTTGAATCCTAAAGAAAAGGAAAATGAGAATGATCTTCTCTTTCAAAAGCACTCTTAAAATTTTAAATATCAATGGTGTCTTAAAAAAACCTTAAAGCACCGATATATATATATATAAAAGATGGAAAATGAAGTCACGTAAGAAACTCAAAATAATAATAAAACCTAGCTCTAGCCCTAAATAGGTAAGAAATCAATAATTTCTTGCAATAAATTAAATTCATAATTTGTTAGATTTCACTAACTGTAGAAATTCACATTGAAATCTAAAAATGAAAAAAAAAATGAAAAAATAAATAATTTAAACTAAGGTTTTTGTGGAAACAAAGGTATGAGTCCTATATCATATCTTTTAAAAAGGAAAAAAATATTTACAGTCAAAATATTGTATATAAATAACATATATATAGATATGGTTCATGGATAAAAATCTTGGAAGGAAGAGGAAAGGTGGCAATCAAACACGTGTTTGTCTATTGCAATTTGGAGCTCTATATATCTTCTATGGGTTTCGTTTTCATTTTCATGCAATTATGTCTGCCATGAAAAAACAAAAGGGTCATAAGAATGGAGTAGGTTATTCGATCCCAAGAGATCTTGTCATTGAGATTGTCTCGAGATTGCCTGTGAAGTCCATCGCAAGGTTCCGTTGCGTTTCCAAGCGATGGGCTTCAATTCTCCTCCATCGAGACTTCACGGATCTGTTCCTGAAAATGTCTTTGGCTCGTCCTCGTCTTTTCTTCATGGTCAAACTCAAAGGTAAGTTTCTCTTCTTCTCGACACCTCTGCCTCTAAGTCCAGACCAGAACTCGTCGTCTCCTTTGGTTGCCGATCGTCACATGAGTTTCTCCTGCGAGTTTTCTTCTGACGGGCCGGGTAATTCTCCTTCTCGTCCTGTCTGCGGATGGCTATGTAGTAAAGATGAGAATCCATTGATGTGTAACCCTAGCACTGGACAGTGCATAACTTTACCCAAAGTGACATCGATGGGACCTGTGGATACCTATTTGGGGTATGATCCGGTCGACAAACTATTCAAGGTATTGTGCGTGTCCACGGATGGTTGCCGAGTTTTGACATTTGGAGATGGAGAAATGTCGTGGAGATTGATCGATTCTCCGATTCCCCATTACCCTTTACGTAGTAATGAGATATGCATCAATGGAGTTTTGTATTACACAGCTGTATCATTGGAAAGGGGCATGCCTTATCTGATAGTTTGCTTTGATGTTAGGTTTGAAAAGTTCACGTTTCTGATAGTGAACGATAAGATTTGGAATTCAACTCTGATCAATTTCAGTGGAAAGTTGGGCGCAGTTCGCCCTGATCCGTTGTACTTCTTCACTCGAAGTAGTACAAGTCTTGAACTGGAGGTTCTTGAAGATGTCGAGAATCAGAAGTGGTCGAAGCATAGCCATGTATTGCCGCCTTTGTGGAGGGATATTGTTGGGGATCGTACCAATCTTTACATTGTTGGGATGACTGGCACAGGTGAATTTGTGTTTGCCCCACGCTCTCAACTCAACCCCTACATTTTCTTATACAATGTGGTGAGGAACACTGTCGTAAGAGTAAGAGTCCAAATCCAATTAGGAGTTGTAGCTTCTAAGTCTCGCAAGACCTTCACATTTTTGGACCATGTTCAAGATGTGAAGCTTATGGAAGCGCCTAGTAAGAGCTCATAAGACTTTACAACAGTCCCTAAGCGTTGCGTCTATTACATTTCTTGTATTGTACATTTTATGGCTATTTTATGTTTACTTTGAAAAACTTCATCTCTTGGAAACTGTGTCCATGAGAATCAATGTTTGTTGTAAGCTATTGTTTTAGCTATTTAAACCTTTTCTTTTCATAAGCCACTTTGTGTCTTCGATAATTCTACTACGTACGTTAGTTATATACATCATTAAAGGACGAAGTTTATCCATATGATTGATCTCCGTGCTCTAAGTAAGAACTTGGTGAAGCATGTAGCAAAGAGGATTCTCACGATCCAAAATCCCATCGCAATATATACAATGACACTGAAGGAAAATAAGAAATATTTACTGATAGCACTTAAAATATATATTCCCTGAGGGAAAATCATAAACTTTTAAAGATGTCACAAGAAAAATCATCTTTGGCTCTATATTCAAAGACGGCACATTATCTTAGGATGTAGATTTGCCGATATGTTGGAACTAAGAGTAAGTAATAGAAAATCACTAGAACTAGAACATAAAATAAACCTTGTGAGACAACAGATGGAAACTGAAATTTGAAAGATAGGTGAGCCAATCTCATATTTGGACGTAGCACATAAATAACTGTGTGCAAAATATAAGACAACTTACTCTTATGAAACCATTATAAGTTTGTAACTTCTGTGATAATCAGTCAGCTATCTAATCAAACTTATCATTTCAGTGAGGACGATATACATGTGAGGTCTCTCAAAATTGTAGGTGCATATTTCCAAGCACATTTTGACTAAAGCATTTAGGTCTTAATCATTCAAATATTTTCGTTGTAAGTTGGACATTTGTGACTTTTATATTTCAATTTGAGAGGAATCGTATTGACGAGATAATATCTTCTGAAACTTTCTTTTTCCATTCGAATATGTTATCACACATATATTGTGTATCTTTCAGTTATGTTAAGTTGAGGTATTAGGGATTGTAGATACCTATCTGTTGAGAATTAGCGAGATCTTAAACTAGAAGAAAGTCTATGAATAATACACCCCTTAAAACTTATATACTGTAAGTTATATTTATCACGCCTCAAAACTCTATTCTAATAAGATTCTAGCTAAGGTGATTACAGAAACATTAATAACATAACAAGACAGAATAATGCAAAGATGATAATTTGTAAGCAAATAAGCAGAGAAAGCAAAAGACGTGACTTATCCAAAAAGAGAGAAAAAAAAAAACCACAATGACAAATAGATTGGATATTTGACTTGAGCTGGACCTTAACATTGCCCTAAACTGTAAAAGGATCACATTTTATCACAAAAGAAATCTAGGAACAAACAAAAAAAGATTGCAACTAGAAATGATACCCAAAAAAGAGCCTAGGATTTTTTTCCCCCATCTAATAAATTTCTTTTTTGTCTTAAGAAAATTCTAATTTGACAAATTTAATTATGTAAACTCTTATATTATAATTTTACAATTTACACACATTAAAATCTTATAAATTAAAAGGAGTATTTGTAGAAAATGGATCTTTAAATTAATAAATTTCTTATACTTACATTTTTGGTTATATATGAACAGTTTAAAAGAGATATAATATTATTTACACACATTAAAATCTTATAAGAGGTGTATTTATATAAATACATATTTTAATCAATAAATTTCTTCATCTTTATTAACTTGGTCTATAGATTGATATGACAAGATTTATCATCTATATAATAATGTACATAATTAACTTTTATTAATAAAATAATATCCATAAACACGATGACAAAAAAAAGTTATATATATTTATAAACACCTATTTCCTATTCAAGTTTAGGTCTGAAAAGTTCAACTTTATATGTATTAGTTCAACTTATGGAGAACAAGATTTTGTTGCCGACTCTGATAAATAACAAGGGTAAATTAGGTGCGTGCGCTTGAGATTGATTGGGGTGGTATGCTTGATACATGCATTTAGTTGTGGGTTCTAGATGATATCGAGGAACAGAAATGGTCATGTCATATCACAATATATTGCCGCCTTTGTGGAAGATTGTAGCCGCACAATACGGGCTATAACTCGTAATGGTGAAATTGTGTTGCCCTCACTCGGTTTATATGATCATTTTTTTTCATTTTCTTTTACAAGGGATGGAAATTTTACACATTTATAAACCATATTGAAAATGTAAAGCTTATGGAAATGCTTAGGACTATATATACTATAAGATTTTATAACAGCTAGTTTGGGTTCTAGGTTGGGGCTCTTCAAGAAAGTCTCTTTGTGTTTATGAACATCAAACAAAGTGTTTATCTTACTGTAGTTACAAAGGCAAAGGAAGAAGAAAAGTAGTCACTAGATAAACAATATTTACATTGAAATTTATTCTTTTGATCTCATTTTTTTCCTTCTTTTTTCGGTTTACGCCATTTGCCCAAAGGGAAAATATTCTAGAGCAAAAGATTTAGCTGGGGACAGGAATTCAAGAATAATGAAAATGTTTTTGAATTTGACTTGAAAGACAATTATTTAAAAGAACCGGTAAAATAACATGTTTTAACTCAAAGTAGCAAATATAAATAAAAGTGTGCAAAACAGTATAGAGAACAACATGCATGACGATATTACAAGTTTAAGTTTCGATTGGTTGGATATGATCTCACGCCTAATCCTCTAAAACTCTCTCATTCGATTTTTGGCTTGAGAAACTTCGCACGCTCTAAATCACTCACTGCCTTCCCGAACCTGAGAAAGAGACGATTTTTAAACTTATTTCAGATTGGTCTGTTTGGCCCTTTGCTACAATTTTTAAACGTACATGTATAATAACTTTGTAAACTTATCCATAAGTGCAGGTTATTTATATACCTTGGCAGGTGATTTCGACAGAGACCTGGACCGAGACCTGGACCTTGATCTCGACATTGCCCTGAATTCAAAAGCAAATCACAGTTTTACCACAGGATAAATAAAGGAGGTAAGGGGGAAAGAACACACAATAAAAGGGAGACAACTTGCCTGGGGGGACTCTTCTTCCTGTCAGGCGATGGTGATCTAGATTTTGATATGGATCTGGAAAGGGATCGTCTTGGTGATTTACTGCAATTTAGATTGACAAACACGAAACTCCTTTTTACGTTGTAGAAAATATAAAAATATATAAAAGGTTCAGTGAGACTAAAATTCAGTACCTCAGGTCCTTCCTTGGGCTCTTGCTTCTGCTAAGGCTACGGCTACGGCTGCGACCACGGCCTCGGCTACGGCTTCTGCTTCTGCTTCTGCTTGGGCTTCTCGACAGGGAGCTTTCATATTTCTTCACCTGCGTATGAGCACAACATACATAGATAACTAGTGAAAACATGATTTCGAATAAGCCAACCTTGATTTCTTGCCTAAAACTATTGAGAGTACGAAAGTCACACACGCTTCATTAATGGGAAATGGGAAAATTAAGCATCTACCAAGTAAAATGTTGGGTTAGGCGGAAAAGCTAAGTACAGAATCATGATTTGACTATGTGAGATATACTTAATATCAAAGAGGGCAAACAGATAAAAGGTAGACAATAAAGACTGCGAGGAGAAAATAACTATACCCGGATATAACCTCTAGCCCAAGGGTTTCTGAACTCCGTATCATCAAGCTTCCTTATCTGAAATCACGATTTTTGAACATCGGAAACTATACAATTCACAACTTCATATACAGCAAGTGGGAGGGACAGAGTGAACTTACAGCATACTTCATGTCATCATAATTGGTGTAGTCGACAACACCATAAGTTCCTGATCATATTATTATCGAAAATAATGTGTTAGAAAAAGGCGTAACTTAAAATCACAAAAGCTGCTTAAGGCTGAAAAAGGTAAGATAATGCTAAAAGTGTATGCCAAAGGCATAAGAGTGTAAACTAACGCACCATCACTGTCTCGAGTGACCTCAGCAAAGCATACATCACCGGCTTTCCGCATATGATCCTGAAATGATGGTTTAAATATTAAAAATGAACTAGAAAATAGAAACCAAAATGTTGCAGCATAACATGAAGTATCATCACACCTTCAGATCTTGCCATGAAGCAGATGATGGGAGCCCACGTACAATAACTGCAGAAAGCCATCCAAGAATACATAGAAACATTCAGATGAGATGAAACCAAACTTTGTCACTTCCAATTTCTCATGGCACATAAAACAAACCTCGGAATTCAGAGTGTCGTGAGACACCAAACCGGGCAGATCCACCACCACCTCCACCACCACCTCCTCCACCACCATAGCCACCCCCACCACCGTACCCACCACGACGATCACCTGAAGACTGTCCTCGCCCACCATGGGCAAGCTCAACCTGCGTTCATAATGATTAGACTCCATGAGAAAAAAATAAATAGATCCATCAAAAGGTAAAGTGAAGCACCCAGAAAAGTTTGGATTCTGCTGTTCAGGGCGTGTGAAGTACAAAACGCCTGTCTGAAGCCAAATAGTAAGGAAGTAATGAACGTTTGATTACCCTCAAACGACAGCCGTCAAAGTTATAGCCATCACGGCCCCTGATCGCATCTTCGGCATCCCGAGCATGCTCAAACTACAAACATTCAACACAGAGCTTGGTTAACTGAAATTAGATCTTGTAAAATTTGGTTAAGACCATGTAATTTTCAGAAAAAGAAACTTACCTCAACAAAGCAATAACACGGAGGACGAGGTGGAACCTTCAATTCAATATCCACTATGCGGCCATACTGCAGTGGAGATAATGATTCAATTGAGATAATCCGATCGAAAAATATCTTGGAACAGTTGGGATGTCATGCAAAACCAATTTAATCAAAAAGGTAGCCAGAACTGACCTTGTAAAAGAGATCTTCAATCTCATGTTCTCTAATGTCGCCGGGCAAGTTACCAACATAGATGGACCGGGAAAATCGACCACTCATTGTTTTCAAAGGTTGTTAAAACAAAGCAAAGGGGTAACTGCAGGTACGAGTACAAGGAAACAAATAAATAAGGACCAAAGTTTACTGGTATCGACAAAGAATCTCCACTCAGACAACTTTCCATTTAGCCTCAGCATATAGAAAAGATGATGATAAGACCAAAATATATATATGAAGCAAACCAAGTAAGAGCAATCCTCGGAAAGAGCAGTGCTCCACAAGCTCCAAATGCATATTTGCTCCAATGTGCTCCAAAAGCTAATATAAATTTTGAAATATGTATTTTCTCCAGATCTTCCCATGATTTACTGGAGAGGTCTAACTCGTCCCAAAGTGAGCAAGAATCTCCAATAATAAAGAAAAAGAAAAACAAAACGAAACAACTCCATATTGATCTCCCATCCCCTCTCTATATCCCTATGAACCATTGCAATGCTCATGTTCCAAGCGCTTGCCATCTATCATCAAGAAAGCATGTGTCATGACATCATGTAACATAGACTCATGCATGTCCCTTGTTCAGCTTCCTTACTCAAATATTATTTTCGAATACAAATTGATCTATATACCGTTATTACACGGAATCTCCTGAAAAATCAGTTCTACCATTATTTACATACTAAGAATTACAGTATGTTTCGCAGAAAATAGCAGAGATTCTCTGTTTCAAATATTTTTTCTTTTACAATGCAAGTTAAACATTTTCCTCGCTAAGAACAATTCATCAACCAAAACAATTCAGAAACCGTTCTAACAATTACGATTGAAAGCAAAAGCGACGTAAAAGAACAAAATTTCCATAATTCAGAGTCTCAATTGAATCAATCACACTAAACACCGACTCGGAAAGAAACTCAAGAACATTCGACAGATAAAAGCGAAATACACGTGTGAAGACATACAAAAATAAGCGCTTTAACTAAAATTAAAGTAAAGAAAGGTACACCAAGATCAATCCCAGATTGTTCACGAAATCTAGAAAGACAACGCCGGAAATCACTAACACTATCACGAAAACCAATTCCAAGAGAAAAACGGAGAGAGAGATAGATAGAGAGAGACGTCAATGACTTCGTACCAGGGATTAGCTGCAGCACCGGAGAAGATTTGGCACAGCCCAACGAAACTCGGATTCGAAGATTAATAGAAGATAAGTCGGCCGTGCAAGTTTAACTAGGGTTTGTTCTTTATCCTTTAGGAGTGGTCCTTGGCCTTATGTAAATTACCGAAATTACCCTTATTTGACCCCTTCAGTCTTTTGTTATTTATTTTTCGGTCCTTCTTTAAGCAATCGGTTTGGATCCGCTTGTGACCCTA